GACGGTAGGTGTCCCACTAAACCCCTTTTCTAGATGACGAACTCTTTGGCGTGACTGTCGAGAGCTATGCCAAGTCTCCTAGGTGAGACCTCGAGTGACCCCTGTGATCAGTAAAATATAACTGTCCATTAAATCTAATTGTAAGTAGTATAGTAAGTGTACAAGTGGCTGCACACAGCGCCTAAATGCTTGTTCTTGTTGGCTGAATTTTTTGTTGAATAGATTAATTTCTGAACATGCTCTGCAACAACTGGTCTTGAACCAAAGGAGGAAACTATTTTGACAAAGGCCACACGCCAACCAAGGTCTATCGCGGGTTGCGCTCTTTCCCACAGCATGTTCTGACCTTTTGCTTCGCTGTGAAAATCATTTCTGTGACTTGCATAATTTTCAATTTAGATTTCATTCGTTTTGCTGTGCTTCATCATCGCCTGCACTCCTCAAACTGTCACTAAAATAGGTAGGACGCTCCACAGTTATTACATGTACCTCTGCACTTCGGTTCTTCATTTCCGGCCGTTCTCAAAGCGAAATTTCAGAAGAGTTTGCTGCTCAGCCAATCCCAAAGGAAGCACTTGAGTTGACTGGTCAAGCGTTAGTGGACTATGTAAACCAACGCCAATCATTTTTCAAGGTTTCGAGATTTTTTTCTATTGTATTCTCGAAAAAAGTCTTTTTGCTGGAGCAAAAGAATACAAACCCAATAATAACTTTATGTTACTGCCACATTCTGCAGAAAAATACTAATTTAATGAGTAATCGACCACATAATCTTGATTTGAAACTTCTCGAAAGGTGTCGGCTCGCTTGCCTTCTCTATTTTCCTGAAGAGGAAAATGTACTAGCCTTAACCGGTATCCTCGGTAAAGCCCTCTTTACTTTTCTGGAAAAAGAAAAACTCGGTTCCATTGGGGACGCGGAAATCCACCAGCAGCATTCAGTACAATATCGACAATCCAATAACAACAACAACAACAACATATCCTTCAGCTGATTTGTTTGACTTTATTTCGAACGTGATTCAGGCTGAGTATTCGCCAGAAGTCGCGGAGTATCGTTTGGGCAATTTGATGAAGGCACATTTTGTCGAGCAACCAAGAGAAGAGGGATACGAATTAACAACGGATCAGCTTATCGCAAACAATAGCGATCTTCCTGAAAAGTGATTAATGTTTGCCTGCTTAATGTTTAACCAGATGGTCTGTATCCCTATAATTCTAACCCATCCTGAACATAGAAAGGCCTTGAAAGGCCGTTACTTGCATTTTGCCAACCCAACATTGACCATAAAAGTAGCCGTTAATAGAATTTGTTATTAGAGACTACCTCTCGAGGACTGGTGCTGGCCCTAAGTAGATAATTTGTATAGCATCATGATTTCGATATTTTGGGTAAAATTCATGATTTCATGTTCAGTTTCGACTCTCGGGAACAATGGAAGGACTGCCCTTCTCTACGATACATACGCGACCAGACAAAGTGCGGTATGAGCTTGATTTTACTCTAGAAAGCATCGTGTCGCTGGAGTTCGACCTAGCTCCACTTCAGAACCTCAATGCTTTGTAAGAGCTTCCAATTGCGCACACAGTTCTATAACTTGAACTTAGGAAACCTTTTACCGTATGATTGGCCGTTTCCGTCGTCTTCAACGGCTCGGGAAGAGCCTGCTTTGTAGTAATGGAACGGTGTAAGCATAGGTAACTCGTCATGTAAAATATTGGCCTGATGTTCAGGTTAAGAAATAGAATGCGGAACAAATAATGAGTTCCCTGGTACTTTTCTCGATTTATTTATGAGTGACTTTTTGCAGGGTCATGCTGGGCTGTCTCAGCTGCTTCGGTTATGTCCGATCGCCTTTGCATCCACACAAATGGAAGAGTGAAGGTTTGGTATTCGAAATGAAGGGAACAAATCCTGGAGATTCCTATTTTGACTCCTTTGTACGATATCTGACAATAGTCTAAGCCAGGCGTACGTCCCTCATGCCAGTCAGTTCTGACTGCTAATTACACTTTGACTCAACACCTAGTAAAACACTTGGGGGATGCGTTTTGGCAACCGGCTGTCGTTTTCATTCCCACGTTGTGCTCCCAATACTTGCATATAGCAACTTTGTATGAAAAGTAGATATTTTAGAGGGATCCGCCTACGTTAGGGAGCGTTGTGGAAAACAAGCTCAGTTTTGAAGTGCAAAAGCTTATACACCTAAGTCGCAGTCTGAAGATGTAAAATTCCAGACAATGCTCTCCGACACCGATATCCTAGCATGCTGTGGGAAGTTCTGCGGATACGGGTGAGCTATCTTGACAAGTTGTTAGTAATACCAACCCCTAGAGCCATATACGCCTCCTACACCCTGCATTGTTTATTGACGTTCCTATGCAGCGTCCTCGACCAAAGGGGCCCCTTTCTTGCTGAGAATAGTTCTAATGAGCGTGAAGGCTTTTTTTCTGGAATACTTCAATTTGTTTGGCATAACATTGACCAACTATTGAAATATTCTCAAAGAAATATCTCAGTGAGAACCCACTATCTCCATTTGTTCGCAGGTGCGAAGGAGGTTACAATGGTCGAGCATGGAAGTGGGCAACCATCAGTGGTGTGGTCAGCGGAGGACGTTATGGAGAGAAGGTATGAGGAGAAAGAATCTATTTAGTAAGTAAACCAGATACAGGCGGCTGAAGGATCAGATTGCTACTTCGTTTTGCTACAATCACGCCTTCTGATTCCACAGCCCCAATACATCATTTCTGAATTGGAGTGATTAAACAGAAACACTCTAGCTCTATGAGAAATCGTTCAGGGCGTCTGCATGCCGTATGTTTTCCATCCATGTGGATCTCATAAAAAACAGCCATTTTATGGTGTATGCCCTACGCACTCATACAGGACTCCGGCATGCAAACCATACTGCCAGTACGGTTACGGAAAACGTTACCTAAAGGACAAAGTCAAGGGTAGGCCGAAATTCAAAGACCCACTTTTCAAAGTTCTTGCTTTCATTCTTCTATTGAACAGGATCCCTGATGCTCATAGATGTCTTGGCACTAAGGTTCGAAAATTCACTCCTAGGCTCGATTTTTCGGTGTTTTCAGCCAAGACCTGGTATTATCTCCCACAAAAAGATGAGGCTGCCATCAAAGCAGAGATTTTTCAAAGAGGTCCTGTTCATGCCACGTTTAACGTTTATGAAGACTTCGCGTCTTATAAAGGCGGAGTTTACATCGTGAGTAGTTTCACTATGATTGTATTCATCCTTACTCATGCGTAAGATCACACACCAAACCGACTTCTGACTGAGTTAACGTCATAAAATAATTCTTTAAAAATTCTCAGCACACTGCGGGCAAAATGAAAGGCGGACACTCGGTGAAAATTATTGGATGGGGAGTTGAAAACGGTACGAAGTACTGGACTATCGCCAACTCGTGGAGTGAAGACTGGGGAGAAAATGGCGGTATGTGTCATGTTACTATATGTATTTCTACTTTTGCTGTGCTTCTATCGATAGTATTGGAAACCATACCTAAGAATCTTCAAAAAGCTGAGGCATTTTGAATATGTGTATATATTACAAGTCCTAAAGAAAGTCCCATATGACAGTGCCAGTGATCGGTTTTTTGTAAATGAACCCATAGCCAGTATTTTTCCATCCTGCTCTGACTGATACTAATAGGGCTGTAAACAAAGCAACAGTGTTGGGCGTAAAGGCAAGAATTAGCCGGTTATCCGATAGCCACTCCAAACACCAGGAAGCTCCGTTTTTGGGAGTGATGTCGCAAAAACTGTAAGAGGCGAAGGCCCCATTGTTGTAATCGTTCTAGCGAACGCTATCCACAGGACACTATCATTGTAGTGAGCTCCTTCTGCAAACGATATAATAGGAAGGTTTTACCGATAATTCCTTCGATATTCAGAGCATTTACCCTGGCTAATGCCATCGATGATGAGCCACGGCCTTTGACTTTCTAAGCCTTTGGCCTCCATTTCTCAAACACTTCGCATGGGAACTGTGGTCTTTTGCTTGATTGGCAGGCTACAGGCCCTCGAACACAAACTCATTGAAGGCGTTGGAATGATTGTGGTGATAAGACTTGCTCCGACAAATCCCACCCAGAGCAATCCCTCCCCTTTCCGTGTGACCAGTTATTAAGACTGTAGATAAACACACATTCCTGCCAACTAAAACATCTTATATCTTAGAGCTGGTTTACAGCCTGTACATTCCATTGGATGAGGGCAAGCCGCTGATTTTTACCATCTGTTTTTTTTTGAGACTTATCTTTTAAGGTTACTTCCGTGTCGTTCGTGGAATTGATAACTGCTACATTGAATCAGGAGTCCTTGCTGGAACATTCTAAGTATCAGGAAATCATTGATCGTAATGAATTGTATATCGAATAAATCGTTTCGGCTAGTCTGTTCAGAGGCACAAGTGATTTGTCGAGATTTCCAGTGATTCATGATTTGAAACTTCTATACAAAAAACTTTTGAGTTCTTCCTTGGCTGCCATAATCTTCTTAATGTGCTATGGTGGGTACTACACGACCATCTACCAATTGGATGAGAAGAAATGTGTAGAGGATTACTTCGCCTGCAGTGAACTACCCTCCCGGGCACAAAACTTTAGATTTATATATCAGTATCTCGTCAGAAACAGTAGGAGAAATGAAGCTAGCCTAGGCAAACTTTTAACGATTTTGGGAAGGAGTTAGATCTTCAAAAAATTGTACGGAGCAAAACTGTTGGTAAGAAGGAGGTTGAGCTNAAATGTGTAGAGGATTACTTCGCCTGCAGTGAACTACCCTCCCGGGCACAAAACTTTAGATTTATATATCAGTATCTCGTCAGAAACAGTAGGAGGAATGAAGCTAGCCTATGAAAAGGCAAACTTTTAACGATTTTGGGAAGGAGTTAGATCTTCAAAAAATTGTACGGAGCAAAACTGTTGGTAAGAAGGAGGTTGAGCTTAAATATATCCTCTCACTTTATCATCCTCACAATGTAGACCACACCATGGGCAGACTCTTGCATAAGTCCAACACTATCTCTACTGAGTGTTTACGAGTCCATTTCAGGTATAACCTTGGGGACGCTAAGATGAATAGATATCTGGTTGGATGTCCTACAAATCTAGAGTTTCAAGCCGCCTTATTGGTGATATAGGTGAGGCCATGGCTATCGACAGTAATATTCACATCATAGATGACTGCTGGATTTGTTTTCCACGAAACTGAATCTTTACAAGAATCCGGAAAACAGGAAAGCTTGAGACCGTCATCATTGACTGACACTTACTCCATACTGAGATACTTGAGAAAATGGGAAAAGCACAGCAGGTTTCCGTAATGGACAGGACCTCGGAAGCCGCAACTTTTCTGTCTGTGCCACTACAGTTAGGAAAAAAGAACAGCATCACCCGAAGATGAACTTTTTTCAGAGCTACCTGTTCCCGAAAAAGAGCTCTGGATCAAGTGATCTATTTGGTTTTACGTGGAGGGTGATTACAGCCTTTGTGGACATTGATAACACCTGAGCCAATGTGGTCACAGAAGAAGCCACGTAGTCAGTGTGCATTTTTCCATAAAAGGGTTACAATCTGTGCTTGGAAAAAACGTTTCTTCGCTATGTATGCTTTCCGATAAAGACCTATCTATCGATAACACCTTTCGTTTTTCTAGATCATAAGGCAATTTACATATATAAGCCATTTAGGAGAATCTAAGTACATAGCTGAACGTCTGCTAGGGAAATGTTGGTGAGTTACTAGACTTTCTCTTCACAGTTGGATGAGCACTGACATTTTCGACATTTGTCTTGTTTCTGCAGTGACTTGCTTTCATGTCGAAGAACTGATTCGTTCGGAAACCAAGTAGCTCTTCGCTATCTACAAAAAAAAAGGAGTTCTAGATTGAAAGAAAAAAGATGCTCAGGAATAATCAATCCTTCTTCGGGCTGTGTCCAGGAATCAATCCTGCTTCGGGTTGCGTCCAGGATGTTTTGTTATGTGCGTATGTGGTCATGAAATGACTTGGTGGGGCCGGTCCTTGCACATTCCGTAAATGCTCTCCCATACGAGCCTGTGGTAGCGCCATTTAGTACTTGCCCACTTCGACGCTAGAGCTAGGTCACTCCCCCTTCCCTGGAATTACTCTCTCACACCAACATCGAAAACCTCCTCTTAAATTGCTACCACACCACCCACTCATTGTCTCCCCTGTGTTATACGAGACAATTCAATTTTCCACCTGTTCCTAGGTTGCTACTACACACTCACTGTCTCCCCTGTGCTACACGAGACATTTCAATTTCCCGTATGAGCAAACCTGCGTGGAGAAGCTCAGTCACCCTGTCCGGTGTAACTACTTTAAAGAAGTTGAAGGGGGAGTTCAGCCAAGCGTCTAAGAGCAGCACTCTAAGAGTCTAATACTACTAATCTCATGTCAAGTGGTCATCTAAAACTAAGATTATTGCCTCCCCATTCACCGAGTCATATGCATGCCATCACTTACGCCAGTATACTTGGGTTGCAGTGTTTGGGAGGGACCTGTGACTACCCATTAGGCTCCAGTCGAATAGATGGTGCCCCTCGTGCACCACTACAAACACACTCTTTGTGCATATAGCCGATCTATAGGGATCAGTCAGCTAAGAATTTCGGTACATTCCAAACCGCATTGGTCCGGAGTGCTCTATTCCCAGCACTTTTTCCTGAAGTTATTACTCAAATCCAATTTTGGTCATAAACCATTCAATTCAGATTTTGCTCGCGCTTTTCTCTTTCTTCACCGTCTCGTCCTCTCAGAAATTCACCAGATTAGGTAGGAACATTCCGGTTAACGTCTTTACATTTGCAGTTACATAGCACGTGGTTCCACCGCTACAACCAACAAGTCTTTTTGAGGAGTTCCAAAAGAAAATTTTTCAGAAGAATTCCTTGCTCAGCCAATTACAAAAGAAGCGGAAGAGCTGACTGGTGAAGCGCTAGTGAAATATGTAAACGAACGCCAGTCATTTTTCAAGGTTCTAATTTTTCGTTATTAGAAAAACTGAATTCGTGGGGAATCCTTCTTCTTCGCTGAATTGTGACCAGCACATGATCCTTATCCTGAACTGCAAAATTTCCTATTTTTCGTAGTCCATCCGGAGCATAGGTAAAAAGCATCTATAAATTAGTCTCTCCACATTTTCGTTTTCATGTTGTGAAACTCTTGGGTATTGCTTTGGAGTGTTCATGGCGGAACATGCGAAAGTGCATGTCCATGCGCTCTTCGCACCATATCTGCCGTAGCATTTCGAGAGAGGCTCATGCCTGAACTTGTTGACTTTCCAGCGCACCTACTCATGGCTGGAAGACTCAATCACCGGCGACGAGAAGTGTGTTCTCTAAGAAAACCATACAAGGAAGTGCCAATGGCTCGGACGCGTAGAGCATGAAATCCTGACCCCCAAACGAGAACACCAACATAGGAAGGTAATGCTTAGCGTTTGGAGCCTTTCGGAAGGATCATTCACTGGGACTTGCTGCCACCAAACTCCTATGTCAGCATCAAAGTCTTGTTGATTCTATAAACCTTATTGCTGCAGGTTTACGAGAGAAACAGAGGAAGGCCTACTCTCTCCCCGACAGTGCTCGCCCACACACTTCGAAGGAGGCCCAGAAAGGACTTCAGAGCTAGGGATCGCATGTTTCGGCCCACCCACCGCATTCACCAGACATGGCTCCAACGGATTATCGCCTGCTTTTGTGGCTGTCAAACCATTTGAAAATAAGAAGTTCGATGTTGTGAATCAACTGCGAACTGGTATTGGCGAAATCTTCCCCCTGATAATTGGCAATATCTTCCGATAATGACGGTGCATATATGTAAATGTTAACTGTTAATTTCGTGAAGGGAAAAATAAAATTGAAAAAAATCGCAAAATATGCAAAGACTTGTACGCCAACCTAATATATACTACCGTGCGATGTCGTTTCTACTCAAGAGCAGAATGGTATATGTGATATTCGTGATATTATTAGGTTGATGCATAAGTTTTTTTCCCACTTTTTGTAAATATCTCAACAGCGAACCAACCTGAAGATTAGAGGTATGCACCGTCACCACCCACTACTCGACGCCAACGCTCAGGCAGCTTGTCGATTCCTTTCACATAAAAGGACGGGGGCTGGGACTTGAAAAAGACGTCAGTGTCTTTCTGACATCCTCATTTGTTTCAAACTTTTTTCCGTCCAGAAAGCGCTGCAGGTGTCTTAGAGAGAGATGACGTCCTCCCGGATGTATGCACTAGCGTGTATGGGCTCCCTTTGCATTCCAGTCAAAATCGTGAAGAAAAACCAGGCTGTGGGGCAGGTACATTCTGTCACAGTGGTGATTGTGCGGCATTGTCGTCTGCATAGGGTGGGTGAAGGGTGTGATGCGTTACGAACGAAATGGTCGCGTTGCACTGAGAGGGGCGTCGCCCGCGAAGGAATGTAGCAGGATGCAGCAGTAGGTAAGAAATACAAGAACAAAAGTACTAATAGTAGAATTATGCATAAAATAATGATCGCATATCGATTGAGCTGTATGAGGAACGCTAGAGCTGTAATAACGGCGAATGAGTTGTCCGCGAAGCCGCGTGCAGCAAATCGATTACCCAATATCGTTCCTAACGCCCATCTCCCGGTGGGTGAGCGAAGCTAGCGTGATGAAAGAGTATCGTGCTCAGGTCACGCGCATGTGATGACGAAATACCAACATACATGCAAACGAGATACGGAAGGATCTAACACGGGGAAAAACTTATGCATCTACCTAATAGCTGAAGTACCAACACGCGCAGATTCAAGGGAATCGTCTTCTGTTGTACTGCGGTTTATCATTACCTAGATATTTTTTCGAAGCTCAAAGATGCGCAACGGCATGTCGGACTTTCCGATGTTTTCCAATTTTTCGTCCAGCGTAAGAGTACGTTGGTCAACAAAAGTAAATGGAAGCAGTATACGTCAATCAGTACGTCACAGTAGGAATCAAAAGTACCTGACGTCAGAGGTCCCGTATTGTTAGGGAAAGAGATAAGCTGGCGCACACAGCGGATCGTGTTCACCTCTAGTTCTACGTGATACGGATAAAAGATTGTGCTTTCATCTGAATGCGACTGAATGATGAGCAAAGGATCACCGAACAGTCTCGAGGATTTCAAAATAAACCCAAAAATACTACACATGGAATGGCCATACATCTGTATGCGAAGACCCATCTCACAATCAGTCGTTAGAGGGCACATCAGCTGTGTCCATTGCTTCGCCCTCGAGATAGAGATGGTGAATTGGTCACCGTCTACGAGGACCGAACCCCTTCCGACCCCTTGATTGACTCCCCCGTCTTGCCGCTCAGCCCTGAAATGTTTTGCATGACCCTTTTGAAGAGCACCATCACGCTTGCACAACGTGCCCTACTGTGTCTATGGGTATTTCTTCTCCGGAACTCACTTACATTACCGGATAAGGCACAATCTGTAGCTTCTCAGGCACAGGAATCCATCATAGCATCTGTCCGTATTACAAATTTATCCCATTTGTCAATCATACCGAGCACGCTGATATTTATTGGATTTTCTGAATCATAGAAGCTTTCAGGCCAAATATTCACCAGAAGTTGTGAAGAAGCGCAGACAATTTTTGTTGAAGCCACAATTCATTGAGCGTTCCTATAATCAGGAAAATGTGCTCCCAATAGCGAATATGACTTCGAATGATGACATTCCTGAAAGGTACCTGTTGCTATTCTCAGAGTAGTCTCTCCCAGATCACTTTCTTACTTAGCATAGTTTTCTTGAAATTTTGATAGGGCACATAACTTCTTATTCAGCTTCGACTCTCGGGAAGAATGGAAGGACTGCCCTTCACTGCGAGTCATTCCCGACCAATCAAACTGCGGTACGATATCATGCTTGCTTTCTTTATTTGAGAATATTATTGTAGCCAGTGTCACACGTTCGACTTCCTTCCGCTCAAAACCGTAGCTTTGCTCAATAAAACAATGAAAATAGACAGGAAAAAGGAATAACAATGCCCATGGGCAAAGGGTGTGGGTACATCCACCCGAATATCGCGGCACGTACGCTTCACTCGATGGTTGATTGCGCAGTGGAAAGATACGGTAGCCGCCGCGGAACCACTGCTGCTTACCGCGGGAATTCGGGGAGAAGTACCGCCACTCACAGTATATATTTGATACGATAACTAAGACATCCTTTCCTTTTGTTAAATGCATCACCAAGTTTTCGATCACCGATTAAACAGCGTCTCATCTACACTGGTCAAAATAAGAAGATGATGTACAGATTTTGTCCGGCCGTGGAGTAGGTCGTTAATATCTCTGAAGTCTCACTAAACTAAAATCGGGGTGATAGGTTTTTATCCATTTGGTGCCCTTTCTTTACGTAGAATCCTGCAAACTCTCGAATAGAATTGGGATACAACTTGAGTCAGGCTGGAAGTCAGCTGCACCAAAATGAAGTGAAATAATTCAGATTTGATCTTATCCGAAGGCGCTTTTTACAGGGTCATGTTGGGCTGTCTCAGCTGCGCAATGCATGTCCGATCGTCTCTGTATCCACTCGCAAGGCAGAAAGAAGGTTAGTTATCGAGTGGGCCGGGACACTAGGGTTTCTGTCATACAGAGCGCAGAAGGGTTAGGTCGAACTAGCTATAAACTTAACAGCAAAGAAGCAAAAAAAAGGCAAGAAAAATAATTATCGAATCAAAATGGCATAGAAAGAGTGAACAAGGAAATAAATGTGTCAGTTGTTAACATGACAGCCACGCTTTTGAAGGGATTCCTCGAGCAGTTTGTATAGAGAGGTCCATACCCGGCACCTATAGGGGCATACTATAAGGCACCTCTGATGAGAGCAATTTCAGGTTCTGCTTTCTGCTACAGATATTCTTGCATGCTGCGGGAAATTCTGCGGATACGGGTAGGTTTCCTCTCAGAAAAGCTTTTAGACGCCTGCTAAATTACCTCTTTTATGGTAGTTTAGAAAGTGTCATGAGTATAGCAGTAACTGACACAAGGAAAAAATGGGTTGGGGGTTTGTGTTGTATTTATAAGAAAGACTCCCCGCCAAATAGCGACCCGCACAAGTACGTACTACTGTAGATTAAGCTGTATACTACTTACGGCTACTCAATATAATAACTCTCTATCGAAATTTCTCAGTAGAATCTCATTATTAGGGTTTTTAGAACATAGACAATTTGGGATATACACGTAGGTGCACTGAGCGCATGGAGTCCTGGTTTGATTTTAGATGTGATGGAGGGTACAATGCTCGAGCATGGAAATGGGCAACAATCGCCGGTGTGGTTACGGGAGGAGCGTATAAGGAGAAGGTAAGTAGAAGGGGGAAATCAAACAATGTTAGAACCAGACAACCACTGAGTGTTAAGGCTATTTTTCTTGTGAAAACGCTTTATGTGAAAAGAAGCTTTTCAGGGTAATTGTAAACCTTACGTTTTCCCTCAATGTGGAGCCCACAAAGGGAAGGCATTCAACAACTGTCCGTCACATCCCTATGCCACTCCTGCATGTAAACCATATTGTCAGTATGGTTATGGAAAACGTTATGAAAACGACAAAATCAAGGGTATGTTTGGAAAACAACGGTTTTTGAGGAAATGAAGGCTGTGAGGACTTATAATTTTTGTACTTTTGAAACTTGCCATGCTTCTTCTACGTAACTACCTGTAGCCTGCAGATTTTGGTCAGAAAAACGGAAGGCTTCATTTCTCAGAGTACTCATTGGCTATACGTATGAGAAGTGGTCAGAGGTTGTAAATTTATATGGATTCCGAATGGATTCAGTTCATTTTTAGCAAGAACATGGTACTGGCTACCTAATGATGAAAGGACTATTCAACTAGAAATCATGAAAAAAGGGCCTGTACATGCGACTTTCAACATCTATGAAGATTTCGAGCATTACAATGGCGGTGTTTATATAGTAAGTCTATTCTCCCTAAAGTATGATCCACCTTCGCTAATATGGTGGCGATCTTCGGATTGCCAACTTTTTTTGCCGTCAACCTCGCTAGTTGTAAACTCCGCTCAGCATCCGATAAACTGCAGCTGAAAAGCAAAAGTATGATACATCTGAGCGCACGTGGGTCTGTCGATCTCGATGTTGCACTCGGTATCGAACAGTTCGTTTGTTCCGCTGCCACACCTGAGAATAAAAATGCAGTGTTAGCGTAAGGTAACGTGAGGATGCTAACTCGGCATTTCAGCACACGGCCGGTCGAATGGAAGGTGGGCACTCTATAAAGATCATTGGATGGGGAGTTGACAAAGGAGTGAAGTATTGGCTGATTGCCAACTCGTGGAGCACAGACTGGGGAGAGGATGGAGGTACGTGAATTCTTTTTGGCTCCTCCCAAGAACAATGCTTCAAAAAAAAAAAAAAGAGATCGAGAACGAAATAAAGGTCATCCCTTAAAAACAG